CATCACACTGGGAGTACTGGGTGGCTTAGATAGTTGGTGTTGCAATGCAGACACAATTTTAGTACTATTTTTAATTTGGGCGATATTCCCCACCAGACTAAAACAATTTACATGTAGAGCAGAATTGGGTTCCAAGTAAACTTTAACTGTATAATTTTTTAAATGACCTCTGTGGCTTCCTTGGCTCCAAGCCATGGTCTACAATATGCTGTTCAGTTTGTGGAAGAGATGAAAAAAGGGTGATGGATTGAGCAATTTCTGATCACTTATCAGCATAGATCCAGAATAACTGTGGCAACTTCAGTTAAGTCACTTCCATGTAATTCAAAGCAGAATCTGCTATGATTCCTTAGTGTGTTTCATATGAAAAAAACCCTAATGTGAGTTATGAATTACCATAACTTTTTTAACCATTTAGAAACCTATGTTCTTTTACAAAAAATTATTTTGTGATTGGAAAATTAGGTACTGGTTTTTTTCAGTAAGGCTTAAACTCGAATGTTTGTGGGTTTTTTTCCTCTTTGAAAATGGAGGCCAAGAGAAGCATTTTACATAAATATAATACACTGTTAAACTTTGGAAGATTTTTTTTCTTTGGCTCTCCTGAAAACTGAAAGATGCAATGAGGGTGTGAATACTGAATGTTTTCCAAACACAGTGATACCACTCTGTTCAAAGTAGGACTTCGTCTGCAAGCTGGAAAACAAACTCTGGACACGCAAGCAAAGTCAGGGCCAATTGTTTCTCCTTTACACTGTAACCCAGTTGAGACATTGCCTTGTAGCTGCTTTTCATTCACTGCTCTTCCCTCCACAGTACCTTCAAAAGTTAACAAGTACTACTACATGGTGTAAACTTTCAAGTACTATTAGCATGACTACAGAAATGTTGCTTGTCTTTGGTACTCTTATTTTGGATAGGGTGCTCATTCCCTAATACATTCTTTGATGAATAACACATGATAAGTTCTAAAATGTTTCATTGTCATACTAAAACTTAGCTTTTTTTCTGATGAGTATTTTAGGAAATAGTCAACTGTTTTGTAATATGTCGTGTGTCACTGTGTAGATTTGTGCTTGTTCAGCGTTATTATTGTTTTCTGATTTTCATATTTGCCACACATTTTCTTCAAATAGGGTGGGGGGCACAGTGGTTTAGTGATTAACATGGCAGAACGTGTAGGTGAAAATAGCTGCAGAACTTGAGAAACACACAGTGCGAACAGTTCAAAGTGCATACACACAGTAAAGAGAGGTAGAGAAATTTGCTTCATTGTGAATTTGCCAATCACTGCGTTATATATTTAATTTTTAGTTGCTTTTTCTGCCTGCAGTGAAATCTATCTTGATACAGTTTTTACACTGTGAAGCAGTAACAAGCATGACTTTCAAAGAAAAGAATTATTTTGTTTTCATATTGAAAGCATAAACACTGGGGTAGAAACTTTTCTGTGGGTCTGCCAATAAATCACGTGGCATTCTGTCAGTATTCAAATAAATAACTAGAGAAAATGTTCTGCTTTGCTTTCAGGAGTTGCTGAGTCGAACATCACTAGAGACTCAGAAGTTAGATCTAATGGCTGAAGTTTCAGATCTGAAGATTAAGCTGGTTGGTATGGAAAAGGAACAGAGCGAATATGAAGAGAAACAGAACAAAGCTGAGGTGAGTTTCTTTTGTTAGCTTGTTTTCTTTCTTATTTTTAGGTTTTTGTTTTCTATCACGTCTGTGATATGCTGTCACACACCTGAGCCTTTGAGGTGAAATCAGCATGCAGTAGGACTTGCCATGCTTATAGCGTCATCCGTATCATTGTTGCTGTGAATTCAGTGGTGAATAAGAGTATGTGTATGTGGTTTCTTTTTGCCTTTCTCATTATACTTCAGAAGGTGCTGTCTGGCTTTAAACAAGGCACAAAGTCCCTCCCAGAAGCATACATTACAATTGGCATTCACTTAACCTTTTCCACAGGAGCCGTAGGAGCTCTTCTATTTACTCATTTATGCCAGCTCACTAGTATCAGGGGTGCTCCAAACACTTAAATAACCACCATTGGTGATTTTGATGTATTCCTGGCACATGGAAGGGAAAGACAAGATTATGTAACAGCACACAAAAAAGAGGTATGCATTGGAGGCAATTCTAATCCTTACTCCCCTTCAGAGTCGCAAGTTCTGGACGTCAGACAAGCTTTTCTTTTTACCACATTGGTTAAGAAAGAGAGTACGAAACGGAATTGTATGAACAACATGCATTTCCTGGCAATGAGTAGCAGGTGGGAGCTAGGAAAGAGAGCAATTATGGAAGAGAGTAAGTCATGCAAATTGTCACATGTTGCCTTACTCGTTGGTCCTGTAGGGGAACAACTAGCAGCAGAGGATTGCTTGGCAATGGAAGGTTACTAGGTCCAAGATATATACATTGCTTACTGAAAAAAAGACTTTAGGTCTCACATTGGCTTAGGAGAATTTGAAGTCCAGGAAGTGTTAAAAAATCCAGTTAGTGTTATTTGTTCTCCATAACTAGTGGAATATTTGCTAAATATGCATAAGTAATTTACCTGCAGTGACCTAATGTGTTTGGGGTGTGGGGTGTTTTTTGACTTATCTATTCTCTGAAGTTTTCTGTAGAGATTAAAAGATAGCTTAAGGAGAGCAATTTCTGGCAGGTGTTGCAAGCCAGAGAGGCACCAGCTGCTGCTTTTACCATCTGTAGCCTTCTCATGCTCTTTCACCCATAACTGGCAGGGTCTTGTGTACAGAAGGTTTAAGCGGTCTCACACTACCTGAAAATCTGCACAGGTCTGTGCGGTGCCAAATTGCTCAAGATGGCAGCCTGTGCCCAGCAGCTGCTTTCCTGAGAGCCGTTCAGCATTTCCCCCTACATGTCCAACACTAGGACCAGGTGCCTGAATTACTGCAGGACACGCACATCAGCCTGACTTCTGGAAAGCAGCAAAGCTTCTGAGTGCGTTTGCATTGACAGGGCTTCTGGCACCCAGCAGGTCTGGGTGTTCTGAGGCTGAGGCTACGACCTGTGAAATTCTTCTGCCACTGCAACAAGGTGTGTGGCCCACTTGGAAGGAGAAGTTGAGCTTTATTGGCCTGGAAGCCTTTGTTGTATTGCTAATGATAGGAAATGTTCCTGCTAAATCTAATCTGATGGAAAAGTTGAGAATCATTGTGTTAAGCATGCCCTGAATTATTAACTACCCCCGAGATGTGATTAGGTTCTGGCCTGTCAACAGTCACAAACTGTTGTGTGAACAAAGCAAGGAAAATGGGTCTTGTAAGTAAAGCTGTGAAAATAAACAGTGTTTTTGGTTTGCTCGTTGAACCATTTTTTAAAATTATTTCAGATTGCCTTGAATAAGCACTAATCCAATTTGTCAAGGCAAACACATTGGATGCTTTTTTGAATTCTAATGCTTTAACCCTATTTCCTATCCTTTTACTGTAAATTTTACTACTTTTTCAGTACAAGCATCATCTTCAATATCACAATGAAGTTTAGTAATATATTCTCTTTATATTATTACACTACAGCTCCTGCTTAAATTTGGTAATAGTTTGGGAATCTGCCTTTAGCTTGCTCTTGTTCATGCATACACAGTTGTCTTGTGGTAACCTAATTGCTTCAGAGACAGCTCTCCAAACTGATGGTGACCAAATGAATATAATTTTGCTGTAATTGTACCTCTGAATATCATGGTTCCTACAACATGCTCTTACAGCACGTAATGCCTCAAATGAAATGTCAGTTAATATTTTTATGTTAAGTGGAACAAAGTTGTGGGTGACAGAGCTAGAGCCTTTCTTACAGACTGCAGCTGGCCTGTGCTGCTCTCAAGACTGTTTAGGATTGACAGAGGTGAGCAGAACAGTGATTTAGTGGATTTGCTACTATCAGAAGTAATAGTCTTCAGTTTTCGCCCCAGTGTGTGTGTTACAGAGGCATCCAGTAGTTATGGTACTTTAAATAGCTTGTTAATTATACTTCTTGGCTGACTCCACCACTCCTAAATATAATGTCATGTTTTAAAAAGTTTAAAATTAAATGTGACATTGCAGAATAATTCAGCTAAACCATATTTGCTCCATACTCTAATATTGTGTCAGCTTATTTCACAGCAGCTGCTTCCAGTCACGTAGAATTTATCTATGGAATTATTTCTCTGATTGGATTGAGGGGAAACAAAGCAAATTAAAATAGCCTTTTAAATATGAGCAAGTTTTAGTGTGTCAGATGCATTTCACTTTACCTTGTGCAGCAGTGGTTTAGTTTTGGTTTTAGGTAGCAGCAAAGAGTTTATGAAGCATCTCTAACCTCCTCTCAAAGGTATTGATTTCACGCTGAATGCCACTTGTCTCTGGCTCTTCAAAAGCACATGCTAAATTTAAAGTGCCATTTACTTCTATGTATAACACAGGGGCCAGGAGGATAGCTGCTTGTAAATGTACCATCTCACTCTTGGCTTTGCCATTTTAATTCATTTTTTGTGGAATAGTGTTCTACTTTTGCAGCAGGGATGCTCTGAAGGTTTCTGAAATCCCACTTGGGGGAGTTTGTGTAACTTTTCTCTTACCTGAGAAACCCTAGAAAATTTGGAAATGTGTTTTCTTAATGGAGCAAGGTACAAGCAAGCAGCATTATCAAGTGATTAATGGCAGCCTAGATGCCTGCTCCACATGAACATAGACAAAAGAGAACTTCTTTCACTATTAGGGAGACTCCAGAAGTAATTGTCCATTTCAACTTGCTTAACAGCTCTTCTTCTGTCCTACTTTTTCTTTTTTTAGCATGGAATAAGTTTTGTAGTTTTTGCATTTTTGAACTGAAGATCTGAAGTTTGCTATAAGCTCTTGGGAAGTGTTTTGTGGTTCTTGTGTGAACACTTCTGAATTAAATATCTAGCACATAATTACTTGCATGTTCGAAGTCAGCCCTGGCAAAGTGCGTCAGTCTGTAAAAGCTTGGATATTGCAGAGTTGGTATGCTAAGGCTACGGTGGGAGAGTAGGTTGGGGCCCCAAATGGGCACTTTGCAATTTATTCTTGGTGGATGATTTGGCTGCGTAAATGAATGTAATCAAGTACTATTTCAGCAAAAGTGTGCCTCTGAGCCAGCATATTAAAATATATTCCAATTTTTCGAGGTATCTGATGTCATGTGACTATATAAATTTCAAAAAATGAGTGCCCAAATTCTAATCTTCACTGATTAGTTTGGAATGTAGATTCTGTTCTATTTAAACTGTAGTTAGTGCAATATTCCAGGTTTATACCCAATTGCATACACTTTATCATAAGGGAAACACATCAACTGTCTTTTCTCAGTTTGCCTTTGATGTGCTTCATGTATTTCTTTGTGCTGCAATGGTAGAAATATCTTCTTCGCATCATTTTCTTTCTCACCTTTTTTTTTGTCTTTTTTCCTTTCTTCCTATGTTTTTAGTCAGTAGTGAACCTGATCAGTGAGCTACAGGAGCAGATGTGTAAACTGCAGCTGGAAATTAATAGTAGAATTCAAGAAAGAAAGTCTCAAGATAGGAAACCAGACTTGACACCTAATGGTCCTCAATCTAGTTCGAGATCAGTGGTAGAGACTCTCAGCCAGAAGAATTGTTCTCGGTGTGATGTACGAGAAGTACACCTTAGCAGAAGCCTGTGTATTGCCTCTTCTTTTCTCTTGCAAAAGCATAATTCCACTAACCAGAGCTATGTTGTGAAGTATTGGCATTAATCTTTGTGGCTTTCATTTAGTGAAGATTGGGGTGGTCATAAAAATTATTTAGAAAGCAACCAACAAAACAACCACACCAAAAAAAAACCCCAACCAACACCCTGGACACCTCACCTCCGGTTATTGGGACAAATCTGGGCACCATTGATGTCTGTCTACTAAAGCACAGATATCTGGAAGAGAGTCACCTTTCGTATTTTTTTGACTCGTATGTTGATAGTGCCTAGTGTGAGGTTTGCTTGGGTTTTTTTTCCTAAGTTGAGATTTGTCTGTTTGTTGTGCAGCATGCTAGCATGGTTGTTTGCTGATTTTCCTCACAATAACATCACGCTGACTGTGCATCATGGTATGCCACAAGTAATCTGAAAACAGATTACTAATTCCTGAATATCTTAAAGGCTTAATACAGGTATGAAATAGAGCCTTAGGTAAGACTACCTGAAATGTATCCTCACTTTTTCTAATAATAATGTTAAAGTGAATGAAAAGAGTCGGAATAAAAATAACAAAGCAAATCCAAGACATTGTTACGATGTTAGCAGTTATTAGAAAAACATTTTTGAATCTACGTTATTGATCCTAGTTATATCTGACAAAAACTATGTTACATGTCAAAACAAAAGCTACTTTCATAAACTGCTTAAATTTGCTGAAGGTGGGATGATGCTAGTATGCCTGAAAATGTCCGTTTTAATATTTGCTTTGAAATCAGTTTGCTTTAGTTGCCTCATCTCTCTGTTTAAAATTTGGAACCACAAAATTCATTGTATAGGTAATCCACTTATATTGTGAGGGAGTTTTCCAGGAATTTTTCTCACAGGTGTGGGGTTTTTTTATGAATATAACTCATTTCATTATGATGCCTGTTTTGTAGGTGGTGCTATTGTTTCTGAGCTCACCTCTGTCCAGACCTGATTAATGACCAATTAGACTGCAGTACAAGCTACATATGGGAGACAGAATCCGAGAGCCAAATCTGGGATATTAGTATGACTATTCAATGTGTATAGTATATAGGATTCCAGAATTGGGTTACGCTTTCAAATTTTTCCTTTCCTCAGTTCATTTTAAGACATTTGGTCTTGTGAGAATTTAGCAATACGGTCCTGAATGAATGATACAATGCAGTTGTGTCAAGGAAAGAGAGAAGGGACATTTAAGAGGCAGCTTTGTCAGAGGACTAGACCGAGAATTTTTGGAACTGGCTGCAGCTATAGGCAGCATCAGCTCAATTTGCAAGCGCAGACATAATGCTGAAAGGAGCATATTTGTAATCATATTTGATTGGAGGTGCGTGGTGTTAAATGCTTGTAACTTGCGAGATACTATTTAGCTGGAGTGTTACTGTTCTTGGTACATAGCTTAAACTCTTGTTTGGGGAGAGAGCTGTCACTTTAATGAAAATAATCTTTTAGCACTGCATGTTTCTGCTTACTTTCTGAAAAACAAAACCCAAAGCATCACCCAGCCAAAACAAACAAACAAGCCAACCCATCCCGCCTCCCCCATCCCCTGCAAGAAAACCCCAACCAACCTAATAGTTAATGTTATGTGAGACTGCAGTTGTGGATTTTTTGGGTCCTTTTCACTGAAGGAGAAACGACTTCACCAGGCTCGGCTATCTTCCTTAATATGACTAAGAAATTTGTTCATAATTTCAAGTGGAACGTTTGAGAAAGTATTTCTTGTCTCTCAATTCAAAATAGTTTTTGTCTTTTTAGACTAAGTCATAGTGGTTCAGTGTTCATGACTGTGTGGCAAATGCATGATGTTTAATTCAGGACTAAAAAACTTTTATCTGCCAGAGAGATCTTGATTTTAACTGCTCTTTAACTGTTCTTCCTTTGCAGGGTTTGCTACAGGAACTTAGACACCTCAAAATTAAAGTGGAAGAACTGGAAAATGAAAGAAATCAATACGAGTGGAAATTAAAAGCAACTAAAGTAAGCAAAATATTTGGCATTTACTAATGACAGACTTATTTCAGTTGGAAAGGGATATGCTCTGCTTCTCATCAATTTTTACTTTTCTTACAGTTGCCTTGTGTCAGGGCCTACTATATAAAGTCAAATTTTCTTCAATTATCTTTGAAATAAGTATTTTGGTTTAAAATTTTTGTGGCTTCTTTTTGTGCCTTTTGCTCTCTCCTTGCAGTTTCCAGTCTTCTAGCTTTTTATAATTCTTACTTTTAAAAAACCAAACCCACAGAAGAGATGTTTTGACTTACAAAAGACTTGTTCTAAGGAGAGGCCTCTTGAAGAGTTTCTGTCTTTTATCTGTGTAATGGTGACAAGCCCCTGCAGAATATGCTTTCCAGACAGATGATATGAGACATGCAAAGCAGAATGGCTGTTCACTTACTATGGAGTTTATTTTAATAGACATTAAGCCTGAAATACACCATTAGATCATCTGCTTTGACTTTGTGTATATCAAAGTGCATAGCTGCCTTACCCTTCTGTTGACCTTAAATCGTGGAAAGCTTCTGGATCGTTATTCTGGAGAAACTCAACACTTGAAACATTTCATCATTTTCTCCAGTAATTAATTTTTCTAATTGAACATTCTCATTGTTAAACAGTTGCACTTTATTTCTAGTTTGAATTTTTAGCCTTTTTCCATTAAATTAAAAAGCAACTTATTATTTTTCCCTGTTGAGGTACACTTCTGTTCTTACAAATGACTGACACTCTTTGAGTTGTGGCTGGATTTTTCAAAAACATTCCAAATTTTTTATACTGAGCTTTCTTTTTAATACTCAGTATCTTCATCCTGAAATGACTGACAGCTAGTATTTGTATTAGCATTTCTTTCTTTTGAGAATTCTTGGAAAAATATTGCTGTCGTGCCTTTTTTTCCTATTAAGATAATAGCTCCGTGAAAATGTTTTCTCTGACATGGTTGATATGAACAGTCTTTGGGAAAATATTTTCTCAAGCAGTATGTGGCCAGCTGCCAAGACAGATAAAGATTATGGGAAGTGTAGTTGCACAAGGAAAATAAGAAAAGAGCATCATAAAACTCATTGAGTGAGAAAAGATGCAGGACTAGAAAGAAAGAAAAGTACAGGGAAA